AATTGATGTACTTAGAGTGTCTAAGATCCAAATTGCTTCCGCATGTGTTATATTAACACCATCAAAAACAAATGCTGTCACCACACAAAGTTGTCGGAGGAGATGTGACAACGTTAAGGAGCGGAAGGGAGGGGAGTGTAACGCTCCAGTACCTGTTACTCATGAAGAGTAACAACGTAACATGGTCGATAAAGATGTGTGTTAACTTACAAGCACAGGGCGTATGAGACGCTGTTGAGCATTGACGTTGAGGAGCATAAGGATAGGATGGCTCTTGCCGCCATCTACCAAGTAGTCCCAGAGGACGTCCTTCTCATGTTGGCAGAGAGAAGGACTCAGCAAAGGCAGCATGGAAGACGCTGCAAACAATGCATGTGGGTGTGGAGCGTGTCAAGAAAACAAAGGTGCAGACCTTGAAGATTAAGTTCCTTATACCGAGCTGTAATGACTGGTGTCTCTCTATGAGACACTACTTCTACATGGCTATCTGAGACTATATGACATCTTACCTGGGGGCGCGACCCAACCCTTTCCCATTCAGCTAATGGGCTGTACGATGTGGGGACACATTTTCCATGTAAAACGGCAAGGAGTCCTGAGAACTGATTAGGAACCCCTAGTCCTCCCACGAAGCTGTAGATACCGTTCACACAACTAGCAATCTAAGAACACTTCTAAGGTACTTCGTTTGCCGTGGTGATTTGTTAGGTGCCTAGGGAAGGGATAGGTCTAAACTCAGTGACTTGTCACACTAACCATGAATCCCTAGGCTTATCATAATAACGATTCATAAACATTATATTATTGGAAAACAACAAGCATTAGCCTGATGTGCGAACATCAACATCTAGATATATCATACACAGTTCATGCAAAATAGGGAAAAATGCTCAACGGGGCGATAACATTCATCGGCACCCGAAACGTAGAGTTCACAATTTTTCCATCCTCCTTTCAGCATGAATAAACATATACATACTAAGCGGAAGCATAAACCATGATTAACTTTTCATATTACTACATTTTTCTATTTAAGCTCATATCATGGAAAAATCTAGTCAACTAACGTAATTAAGCTAGCATGCATACATACCCAAATAATTCCTACAAGTATTTCTTCCTAAGTTCTGTGTGGTGACTTGGTTGACACGTGCCCTTTCGCTAGCGTTTCTATGTAAGTAGGGTGTCCAAAAGATATTGATTTTCCTCAATTAGGTTCCTATTCACACAAAAACATGGTTAGAATTGGAATTGAGATGAAAATCGGGCAACCAGAAGTCAAATAGATAAAAATGGGTCCTACACGTGCCCTCTCGCACTGGGAAGACTTCTACTCGCGGGCGGCATGTGCGGCAAAAATCGTGCAGTCATAGGTCAGGCGCTTCGGTTTGGGTCGGTAGTTCGGTTCGCTCGTGTGGACCGCGGGCCGGTTTGGGTTCGCAAGCGACATGTATTGCCGTCTCGCTGAAGCCGTGTTTCTTCAGCCGTCGTCTGACGCGTAGCTCCAGTTGTCGCTTGACATGCGTCCCTCGCTTAGTCGTGCGCGCCTCCCCCCTTGTTGGTCAACACGTGGCTCGCCTGAAAATGTTTCTCTCTCCTGGCAGACGCATACGCAGTATCTAATCAGTTTTTCTTGAATCTTTATATTTTTGTATCTTTCGATCTACAACTCAAATCAATATGATTAATTTCACAAAGTTGTAGATCGTATTACCATCTATGCTCTAGTTTTTTTTTTTTCTTGAATTTTACTTCCTTATAGAGTGAGATATCAACGTTGGAAGTTCGCTTACCGTTCTTGGACGATTCTTGGATTTCCACTTTTGAATCGAGGTTTCGGCCAAACTTCTTCACGGTTTCAATGAAGATTTTTTCTTAGATGAATATATCAAGATTTTAGAACTTGATTCACTCAATAAGAACTCAGATATGAAGAGGTTCGTTCAAGAATCTTACCTCGCGAACTCTTAGATCTTGACGGAAATGAAGCGTCGGTCTCTTGAACCTATTTGTCCTTCCAAGAAGAGGGTTCCTGTGCTTAGGCTTCAATGAAGGCAGATTTTGGTAGTGGTTTCCGATGTGTACTTTGACAACTTTTCCAAAGTTTTCTCAACTTTCTTTTCGGTTAATCTTCTGTTGTCTTTGATTGAGCAAATCAGAGGAAATCTTTAACGGAGTAAAAAAGCCGAAGGAAAATGTTGAAAGTAGAAAATAACCGAAAAACACAAGAGAGACATAAGTATTTCAGATTCTGAGCTGAAGACTAGATGATTAGATTCCATTAGCATATTTAAATAACAATTATATTCTAAAAATGGAAAGGAGTGGCGACTCAATTGAAGTCAATCTGCTCGACGTGGCATTCCACTAACTTTAATTGTGTGGCTTTAATAAAAAAAAAGGACTCTTAACTTAAAAATAGAGATTTATTTCACAATCTCCTCCTAAAGTCCTATGGTATATATTTATCTTATTGTTTGAACTTCGATCTTTGAGCGAAATTCTTCAAATTTCACCTGCGCCAGAGATTTGGAGAAGATGTCTCAAAGCTGTTCCTCTGTTCGGATGAAATCAATCTTGATGAGCCCCCGATCTGCACATTCCCAGATGTAGGTGAATCTGATTTCTATGTGCTTGCTCCGATTGTGCAAAACTGGAATTTTGATCAGGGAGATCGTAGCTTTATTGCCCACATATAGCATTGATGGATCGCCTTCCGAGGAGTTTTTCCATCAACTGCGCAAGTCAGACCCCTTGTGTGGCCGCTGTCAAAGCGGCGATGTACTCTGCTTCGCAAGAGGACAGACCTTTTGTTTAGTTGATTGCCAGCAGATCACGCCACTCGAGAGGAAGTAAATCATCCCGATGGTGCTCTTACGATCATCAACGTCACCAGCCATGCACTATCATTGTAGTCGACCAGCTCAAGCTTCTTCTTTCCTCTCACTGCACAGTATCTCACACTCCAGCCTCTGGTTCTGGCCACATAGCGCAGGATGCGCTTGACAGCCACGAGATGCTCTTCCCTAGGTGCTTCTATAAACCTACTCACGTATCCAACGGAATAAGCAAGGTCAGGGCGTGTGTTTACTAGATAGCGCAGACTTCCGACAATGCTGCGGTAATTGGTGGCGTCGACTGCCGTCATAGTGCCGGCCTTCCATAGCTGGAGTTGGGCGTCCATTGGCGTTCTAGGGTTACTGTCTGCTAGCCTAGCTATGTCCAGCAACTTCTTCGCGTACGCACCTTGACAAATGGTGATGCCGATAGTACTCTGTTGCACTTCAATGCTGAGGTAGTAACTGAGCACGCCGAGATCGCTCATCTTGAAGTTCTTTGACATCTCCCTCTTGAATCTACAAGAACTTCCATGTCTCCTCCAGTGATTATGAGGTCGTCGGCATACACTCCCATGATCAGTCGTTGCTCATCGTGGCCGTGCGTGTACATGTCATGCTCATTGGCATAACGCTTGAACTTCAATAATAACAGGGTATTGTCAAGCTTCGCGTTCCAGACTCGTGGTGCTTGCCCAAGCCCATAGAGTGCCTTGTGCAGACGCATTACCTTGCCGGGGTTATCGTTGTCCAAGAAGCCAGGTGGTTATTGGACGTAGACGGTCTCCTTCAGCTCTCTGTTGAGGAAAGCGGAATTCACGTCCATGTGGTGGACCCCCTAGGAATGATGTGCTGCGATCGCCAGCAATAGGCGGACAAATTCCAACCTTGCCACTGGCGCGAATACCTCTTCGAAGTCCACCTTCGAAGTCCACTCCTTGCTTCTGGACGTAGCCCTTCGCCAATAGACGGGCGTTGTGCTTCACGACTTCTCCCTCTTTGTTACGCTTCAGTTTGAAGACCCATTTGAGCCCTATGGCTCGGTGTCCCGGCAGCATATCCTCTAGACTCCACGTCTTGTTCTCAGTAATGGACGCCATCTCTTCCTGCATTGCCTTCAGCCAGCACGGGTTCCTTTCTGCTTTGGCAAAGAAGTTCGGTTAATCTACGTTGATGACATGCAATTCATCCACCTCTTTTTCAAGCTCGTGCACTGCCAGTCCCGGTGGTTCACCTCCTCCTAGTAGGTCTTCAACCCTCCATACCTGGCCGCCAAACCATCATCATGATCGACATCCAGTGTCGAGTCTGCAGTACGTGGTGTTCCAAACTCCACTAGTTTAGGGAGCGTAGTAGGAGTTGTGGTTAGTGTTGGCGTAGGCGTGCCTAGGGCAGCTACTGGTGGCGGTGATAGTGCCCGATGCTATGCTCCTCCTTCTCCCGGCTCGGTGATGAGGTACGCCACCGTGAATTGATTTGGGTTTTGGTCTGCCTCAGTCACGTTGTTCCACCGCCAGAAGGTGTTCTCGTCGAAGACGACATTGCGCGACACGTGAGCTCGTCCCCCTGTAGGATTATAGAACCTGTACGCCTTGCTCATGGGTTCGTAGCCGATGAAGACGACCTTTAGCCCCCTAGGGTCGAGCTTGGCAAAGTGGGGACACATGACCTTCATGTATGCGATGCAGTCGAACACTTGGAGATGATGTACCTCTGGCTTCTTGTTGTACTAGGCCTCGTATGGCGTCTTCCCATCGAGGCTTTGCGTTGGCGACTGGTTGAGGAGGTAGACGACCGTCATGACCGCCTCTCCCCAAAACCTCACAGGCATCCTGACCGTCATTAGCAATGACCTTGCTGTCCCGACGATGGTCTGTGTTGAAGATGAAGACTAGATGACTTGTTTCTAATTCAAGTGACATATTTAAATAACAATTATATCCATTCCACGTGTACATCCCATTCACTTTAATTGTGTGGCTTAAAAAAAAAAAATTTATCTAACATCTTCTTTTGGTGGCAATGGAGGGACAAAATGACTCATTTGCCCTTTCATAAGATTTTTTATTTTTTATTTTTTGTTTTTGAGCGTTACACAAAATCACTCCATGAGTTACGAACAGATAAAGGTCAAAGCAAGTCGGGCCAAGATTGAGAGAAGTAATCAAAGATTATGATCATTAAATAGGGTGTGTACATGGAAAAGTTAGAAAGGAGGAAAACTTAAACATAATTTAGGAAAGAGAATGTTGAACGTCAACTCCAAGTTCCCTTCGCCAAGTCTCGAGTGTGGACATTGAAAAATAACACTCAACTTGGTGAGAAACAACATGGCGTGTCTCCGGCAGCTGTTTCATATTTACACAGAAGGAAAGATTCAAGAGTTGCAAAGACGTGAAGTTCTCCAACCATTCTGGTAAACTTTGAATCTCACTAAGATCTTGAAAACGGTGCTCATCGTTCGACAAAAGCTTTATAACAGGCCGGACAGGACGTAGGTTCATAAGATCACCATGTTGAGTGCATCCAACAATGTCCATTTCTTTCAACTCACTGAGATGGGCTAACCTCTCTGGTAGCCTCATTAACAAGTGCTCATTTTGCAAATCTAGTGCCAAAAAGGAGCAATTGTCAATCAATCTCAAATGCTGAATGGAGTGACAAAATTGCAGCCCATTTGGAAGCTTTGTCAGCTTAGAACATTCCAATATTTGCAAAACTCTCAGGTGTTGGACTCCATTTTCATCACAACAACCAAAAAGATCTGAAATACTCAACAATCTGGGGCATTTAGAAATTTCCAAAACTTGAAGCTGTGGAAAAGTTGTAACATGGGCTCCAACTGTTACTTCTTCCCACTGCTCCAACCTCTCCACCTCAATGAGCTTAAATATCTTCACCTTGGGAAACAAAGCCCTTTGGTTGGAGTGGTTTCCATAAAACTCACTGCCAATACTCCTTACACCATTCAGCCCAGAAACAAGAAGTTCCTCTAGGCTGTTTAAGTGCCCAAGCATTGGAAGCCTTCCACAATTACGACAATCAACTAGACTTATTGCTACTAAGTTGTCAACAAAAATGTTGTTAGCCAAGCACTCACCTACAAAGGAATGGATACTCAAAGAATGAAGCTTTTTGTGTGGTTGAAGCCCTTCCAACACTTGATAACCATTATGATTGCTACTATGATCCTCTGTTTCATTGCTCCAACCCCATTCCAAAACCAGCTCCCTAAGCTTTTCCTTCTCCATAAAATTTGCGCTTTTGGCTTCCTCCCTGCTCTTAACTCTCTCCAGGTTTGAAATTTTCAAACTCCCTTTAAGATTCTTCAGAGGACCGAGTTCTGCAATCTCACAACTCTTCTCAAACCCTACCATAAAACAAGACAATGTTTGAAGATGAATCAATTGGCTCAAATGTGGAGGCATCTTCTTTGGGTCGACAAAGTAAATTTCTGAGAATTCCAAATGCCTTAAATTAACCAACCTTCTCAAATCCTTAGGAAGCTCTTCAATGGGTGAGCTTCCAATCCTTAATGTTTTCAAATTATAAAGCAGAACAATGGATTTTGGAAGCTTTTGGATTAAGCAACCTGAAATGTCAACGTATCTCAAGTGCTTCAACTCACCAATTGAATATGGTAACTTATAAATAGATCGTGAGTTCATTATCAAAACACGCAAACAAACAAAGCTCCCAATCTTATCATGAACGGCCTTCTCTATTCTATGAGGCATCCCTTCATGACAAGCAATCATCCGTAACTTGCTGCCAATGTTTTTGGTTCTGTTCCTCCAAAGTTCTTCATCAGATGAAGTGCAAGAATCCAGTAGAGATTTTTGATCATTTGAAACATCACATGCCATATCATGTATAAGATCATGCATCTTACAACTTATGATTCTCCCTCTAGCATCTTTAACAACATCTTGGAATAAGCAACGAGATAACAAGATCTTGAAGTATCTCTCTCCTTCTTCCTCCACTGTTTGGTAGCAGCTTCTTCCTTCTTGTAGTTGAATAAACCCTTGAGCTATCCACATTTGAATGAGTGGATCTTTTCTAAATTCATAATCTTTAGGAAAATTTGAACAGTAAGCAAAACATGGCTTCAATGAAGATGGTAGATAATCCACACTTAATTTCAATATGGGTAAACAAAAATTTTTGCCTTGCAAATGCAATGGACTTCTCAATACACCTTCCAACAGTGAGACCCAGATGTCATAATCTTGTTCAAATTTCACTGCACTTCCCAACACTCTTGCAACTAATGGTATGCCACCAAATTTTTTAACCAGCTCTTCACGAACAGCCTCCAAATTTGAAGTTGTGGGTAGTCCATTGGCATTTGCACTTTCCATAAATAAGGACCAACATTGCTCGTCTGATAATTTGGTTATATGATGAGTAGGAAGAGCTTTTTCCATGATTTTACACACTTCAACATTCCTTGTAGTCACAAGAATACTATTTCCAGATTTTGAAGTGATCTTCATTAAAAAATTCTTCAACTGTTCCCATAATAATGAATCTTCATTCCAAACATCGTCAAGAACAAGAAAATACCTTTTTCCATACATCTCTTTTTTAAGCTCACGAAGTAAGATCTCCCTATTGTGGTAGCAGCCATCATGACCCTTTACGTTCTGTAAGATTGCTCCCAAAATCTTATTGATATCAAAAGGTATAGACACACATACCCATATAGTTTCATCAAAATGTTGTTTGATCATCTCATGGTTGAAGATTAACCTTGCCAAAGTTGTTTTCCCCAATCCACCCATACCCACAATGGGTAAAATTGATGTAACTCGTTGATTATGAGCATCAATCACCTGTTTCACTATGCTTGAAACTTCAACATCCCTACCCACAACTTCAAAATCATCCACCTCCGAGACTGTCTCTCGAATTTGGCTAACATCACTTTGTAGTAATGTTTGTATGGGTTCATCACCAACAAGTCCCAGACGAGTTGCTTCACGGTCATGTTTGTTCAGCTGATTCATGAAGTTGTTCATTTTCTTTGCCATCTTGTATCGAAAGACAAGAGAGTTGTTAGAAGGGAAAAGGAAATTATGTACCTTGTTCATTTTATCATTCTTTTGGACTTTGTGTCGAAGATGTTCATAAACAAGGTTGTCTATCAGGTCGTCAGCTTCATGAACAAGATGGTGAAGCTTCTCCACCCACAGCCTCACGGAATCATTATGTAATTTTCTTGTGTTGATATCAAGTAAGAAGGTTTCAGATTTGAGTAGCCACTCCTTTAGATTTGAAAGCTCCTTCTCCAAGCCCCATGTGAGGCCGATCTCCTTAGCTGCAAGCCTTACCACTTTCTTCAACATTTCTTGCACAGCAAAAGTCCATAGGAACTCACCCATATCGCTTCCTCTGTTCTTACTTATCCCTGAAATTTGCAGTCAATTTGGGGGAAAGGATTCATAATCCACAAGATCAAAATCAGTGTTTTGGAAGTCAAGGTCGATTTGGGATAAGGGAAGCGGCGTGGAAAAGAACCAAAGTAAAAGTCTTTGTATAAAACCCCATCAGCAGGTGGCAAGTGGCAATCAGTTGGTTCTCTGTTTGAAATATTTGACTGTCAAAAAAAGAAATCAATGTGCTGAATATATTAAAAGTTCCATAATTTGTCTAAATTGCCTGTGGAAAGAATATTTCTACTTATTCAAAGTCACCATTAACGTTCCATGTTTAACTACTATGTGGAATATAACTCGAACTTTATTTATAACTTAAATGTCGAAAACATTTAAAGCAACCTCATCTTCTAGAAAACACTGTCATGGTCTTACGTGTTTAATAAGAAATATTGAAATTTAAAGAAAAATAAAAACAAATACAACATAATTCAAATCAATGAAATGTAAGACAACCCTATGCACGTGTTATGGTCTCTGCTCGTGATACCGCCGTCTGTACATGGGCACCTTCTAGAAAACACTGTCATGGTCTTACGTGTTTAATAAGAAATATTGAAATTTAAAGAAAAATAAAAACAAATACAACATAATTCAAATCAATGAAATGTAAGACAACCCTATGCACGTGTTATGGTCTCTGCTCGTGATACCGCCGTCTGTACATGGGCACCTTGCCTTTACTTGAAAAATGATGTGACACATGACTTGAGTATTTCGAAGAATACTTAGTAAGTGACCCCACTATAGGGGTCGTGCTAAATGCAATCACATGCAAATATGCTCTAGGGACCTATCTCTATTTCATCTCATACTAGGGGTGGCCTCCGGTCCGAACTACTGTAGATGTGTAGTACGTTCCTACACATGACTCACATGTAGGAGTGAGAATTTTCAAGCAGTTCGCACACCTCTGGACCCATCATAGTCGAGCTAACTATCCATAGCAATGTCCGAAGGTCAGTAGAACCCTTGTCATGCGAGACATGATCGTCATCATCATCATAGTGTACGCGTCCGTACTCATTATCATAAATGGAGAAGTAAACTTATATATATGAACACATATAATGCATGAGGTCCCTATATTTTTCATCTTTAAACATCCTTATGATGGCACAACCCTATGCTTCATTCACACATTTTCTTAGGTAACGTGCATGCATTAACCTTCATACGTTCATCATCATTAATCATCCATTATGTTTGTGTCTTTGAAAACTTGTTGTCATAATGCATCATGACATTTAATACATGCTCATCATCTTAATAAAGAATATTGTCATATTTAGTCATCTCATCATCATACATCTTACACCATCATGTTATCATACATCATCATCATCATATCATCATCATATATCATCATCATATAACATCATATAACATCATCATATTATCATATAACGTCATCACATCATCATACAACAACATCACATCCTCATACAACATCATTACATCATTATACAACATAATTACATCATCACATAACATAAAGCATAAATGACATATGTAAGGGTTACTGGGCATGTATCGTCATACATAAGGCATGTCTAACGACAGAGGCAATAGTAAGGTTGCTTACTTGGTTGGCCTTAGCCAAAGTTTCTATTTAATTTATAACCGGCTTGCCTTTGTCCCTCGAATTCTTTTTCACTTATAACGAGGTGCTTCACCCTATTAAATTGTAATGTTTCAAAAAAAAAAAATCGGTCAAAGTCAACAGAGGGGAAAAGGAATCATTTTGCCCCTCTAGGCATTAGAGGGGTCCAATGATGCCCAATTAGATCACCTACAAAAAGAAAAGAAAAGTGAGAAAGGAAAGTTGGGAGAATCAAGAAGGAGCCGCCGCGAAACCTTGTTGGACAACCGTTGAGCATGTATGTTTATTTTGCATGAATTGTGTATGATAATGAATGATAACAGTTGCATGCACACTCAGGTAGTTTTCATGATCCAGAATTATGTTAATGATTAGGGATTTGTAGTTAGAGTGACAAATCACTGAGTTTAGACCTAGTCTTTCCCTAGGAGCCTAACAGATCACCATGGTAAATGAAGTACCTTATGAGTGTTCTTAGGCTGCTAGTTGTGTGAATGATATCTATAGCTTCATGGGGGACCAGGGGTTCCTGATCAGTTCTCACTATTCCTAGCCATTTTGCATGGAAAACGTGTTCCCACATCGTACAATCCGTTAGTTGCATGGAATAAGGGTGGAGTCACGCCCCCCCCCCCTCCCCAATGAGGGGGACTATCATGGGCCTAGGAGATACTTAGCACACCCCTAGGTAAGATACCATGTAGTCTCAGATAGTCATGAAAAGGTAGTGCGTTGTAGAGAGATACCGGTCATTTACAACTCAGCATAAGGAGCTCTTAGGAATTTTATGAAAGGATGGAGAACCAAAATAGTCCCCAGGGGTTAAGACTAGAACCAGATGTTCTAGAGCCAATGAGAACTCCGTGAAAAACCTATTAAGCCTAGTACGCGATGAGAGCCTACAGGTAAGTGGCTGACTGAGTATAACTTTTATACTCATCCTTGCTATATCTTCCTTTTTTAGGTGCGTGAGGCGTCGGGTCAAAAGGGGGCGTGTTTTGAGCAAAGCCCTAGAAAGACCGGTCGGTTGCTTACTAAGTATTTTTACATTCATCCCTTTTTACTCTTCTTTTTTCAGGTGAGTGATGCCACGAATCGAGGCGGGAGCGCATGCGGGAGTCTTAAGGCCACAGATGTTGACTCTGGCAATTCGGAGGAAAATGTCGACGAAAAAACTGGCCGAAGGTTTCTTTGAAAGAAAAAATAGCGGAAGTAAAAGGAGAGAGGGAGAGAGATTGGCTGAAGACTTGATGTTTTATTTCTCTTCAGTTGAATTCTGTAATAACAAATCTAATTACAAAAATAAAAAAACTAATTACAAAAAATAGAAAAGTGGGCGAAGACTTCGCCCAAGTTGGCCAAAAAATGGCAGCTAGAATTACGCTATTTCATTGGCGTGAATTCAGAAGTTTTGAGACGTCAAAACAACCTAACTGAATAAGGAACATAGCTTTTATTTAACAATCTCCTCCTAAAACCTTTGCTATATCTACCTTATTATTTGAACTCCGATTTTTTAGCATAGTTCTTCAAATTTTACCCGCGCCAGGGACTTGGTGAAAATGTCTCCAAGTTGTTCCTCTGTTCGGATGAAATCAATCTTGATGAGCCCTCGATCTACACATTCTCGAATGTAGTGGAATCTGATTTCTATGTGCTTGTTCCGATCGTGCAAAACTGGATTTTTGGTCCGGGAGATTGTAGCTTTGTTGTCTACGTATAGCATTGGTAGATCGCTTTATCTCCCGATGAGTTCTTCCATTAGTCGGCAAGCCAGACCCCTTGTGTTGCTGCCATCGAAGCGATAATGTATTCTGCTTCGCAAGAAGACAAAGTAACTACCTTCTATTTTGTTGATTGCTAGCAGATCGCGCCGCCTGAGAGGAAGTAGATCATTCCGCTGGTGCTCTTACGATCATCAACGTCACCGACCATGTCACTATCACTGTAGCCGACCAGCTTGAGTTTCTCCTTTCCTCTCCCTGCGCAGTATCTTACACCCCAGCCTCTGGTTCCGGCTACATAGCGCAGGATGCGCTTGACAGCTACTAGATGCTCCTCCCTAGGTGCTTCCATAAACCTGCTCACATATCCAACAGAATAAGCAAGATCAGGACGAGAGTTTACTAGATAGCGCAGACTCCCGACAATGCTGCGGTAATTTTGGAGTCGACTGTCATCGTAGTGCCGGCCTTCCTTAGTTGGAGTCGGGCCTCCATTGGCGTCCTTGTAGGATTACCTGTATGAAGAGAGGATTCAGGTGTATATTGACCACAAGAGTCTCAAGTATCTGTTTACACTGAAAGAGATGAACATGAGACAACAGGTGGTTGGAACTAGTTAAGGACTATGACTGTGAAATACTTTACCACCATGGAAAAGCCAACATAATGGTGGACGCTTTAAGTAGGAAGACAACCCACACATCTGCCCTGATCATGAAGTAGAGGTATCTATAGGACGAGATGTAGAGGGTTGGAATAGAGATCATGATTAAAGGCATCATCGCTCAACTAGCGCAGCTTTCGGTCCAACCTACCCTCAAGAGACGTATCATCGATGCTCAGAGAACTGATACGCACCTTAGCAAGATCTGGGATTAGCAAGAGACTGAGAGACCATAAGGGTACTCAGTTTCTTCTTATGGGGGATTGATGTGGCAAGACCAACTATGTGTGTCTCGAGTTGAGAAGATTCTATGGGAAATCCTGACTGAGGCCGAAGACACATCCTATACGTTCTACCCTGGAAATATTAAAATGTATAAGGACTTGAAGTGTAGCTATTGGTGGCCAAGAATGAAGAAGGATGTAGTTGAGTATGTGTATCAGTAGGTAAAGGCCCTGAGACAACAACCAGTAGGGTCATTACAACCGCTAAATATTCTATTGTGAAAATGGGAGGGAATAAGCATGAATTTCATCTTGGGCCTACCGAGGACCCGACAGGGGTTCAATGTCGTATGGGTTAATGTGGATAGATTGACCAAGACAGCCCACTTCATTCTAGGCTGGGCCACTTGCCAAGTAGATCAATGGGCCCTGTTATACGTCCATTGTGTCTAACCGGGATGCTAAGTTTACTTCTAAGTTCTGGAAAAGTTTGCAAAAGGCATTGGAAAAGCAACTCAGGTTTAGTAAGACGTTCCACCCTCAGACAGATGGGTAGATAAAGAGGCTTAATCAGACCTACAATAGTAGTTATCAAGCGAATATTTAGATGACACCATTCGAAACTCAGGTTTAGTACGACATTCCACCCTCAGACAGGTTGACAAGAAATAGCTTATCGGGCCGAAGTTGGTACAAACTACTAATGTGGTAGTACAAAAAATCAGACAGAGGATACTCTTTGCACAAAGTCGACAAAAAAGTTATGCAAACTCTTAGGAAAGACCTCGAGTTTGTAGTGGGTGATCACGTCTTTTTGAAAGTAGCCCCCATGAAAGGAGTGCTGAGGTTTGGGAAGAAGGGCAAGCTAATCCCGAGGTTTGTGAAATCCTAAAAAGGGTAGAGCCCATGGCTATAGACTAACATTACCACCCACCTTCGCTGCGGTGCACAATGTATTCCATGCATTGATTTTGAGGAAGTACACTCCAGATCCCACTCACATCATTGATCATGAAATACTTCCTCTCTGAAAGAACCTATTGTACGAAGAAAACCCATCAGAATAATGGCCCGTGACGTGAGGAAACTACATAGAAGGGAGATTTCCTTAGTCAAAGTCATATAGAAAAATCATCGGGACAATGAAGCCACCTGGGAACGTGAAGATGACATGAGGAGGTCTTACCCTGAACTCTTTCAAGGAGGATCAACTTTCGGGGATAAAAGTTCCTTAGAAGGGGAGAATTGTAACACCCGAGCTTAGGAGGTATAAACAACCCTTGCCTTTTTTTTTTAAGATACAAATATATGCATGATAATTAGGTCATGAGATTTTATTGTAGGCCGAGGAGACCCAAGCTCGAGTCGATGAAGAAGGAGAACAAAGAAATCAATCGCCTCAAATTCACCATTGGAGATTGAATCCAAAGTAAGAAATTTTCAATCAAGACTCCTCTCGGTCCTGGAGGAATGGTTTGGGTGGTGGAATCGTCAATTTCGGAAAGAAATTCGAGAATGAACAAGGTAAGGTTGTGGCCTTCTCATTTTGATTTTACCTAGAACTTGTTAGATAAAACCTGAGTTTTTCCTTATTTAGATTCACACGATTTCATTAGTTCTCCGTTTGACCATTTGACAAACACGTCGAATGGATTAACGAAGTTTCAGCCGCAAAGGCGGGAGCTGGCCCTTTTCATGGTGACTGCATCAGAGCTCCCCAAATCCATAGAGGTAATCGACGACGGCACAACTGCTTCGGTGAGCATGCCTGGGTCAACTCGATAAGGCCGGCTGCCACATTTCCATCAAGCGCGGGCTACTTTTACATCCTAGAGTTGGAGAATAGAGCAACCAGTCAACCTCGGCGAGGTACAGGAGGATGGAAGACCTATTAGGAAGGGAAGAGGTGAACCACTGAGCAAGAATTGCTGGAGTAAGCTCAGGAACAAGGAGACGACCGAGGAGAACGAGCCGTACTGGAGGATGGAAGACCTATTAGGAAGAGGTGAACCACTGAGCAAGAATTGCTTGGAGTAAGCTCAGGAACAAGGAGACGACCGAGGAGGACGAGCCGTACCGGAGGATGGAAGACCTATTAGGAAGAGGTGAACCACTGAGCAAGAATTGCTGGAGTAAGCTCAGGAACAAGGAGACGACCGAGGAGGACGTGCCGACCCTTTTCATGGTGACTGCATCAGTCCTACGTGACGTCTCTAATCCCGAGGAAGAGCTCCCCAAATCCACAGAGGTAATCGACGACGGCATAACCGCTCCGATGAGCGTCGAACCCGAGGAAGAGCTCCAACTGTGCATAATAAATGCACCGGCTGGGGAGCCAATTCAACTGAAGGAGTTGCGAGTGCTCGCTCAAATCGATAAAAGAGGCGAGCAGCAAGAGCACCGGTGATGGATCCTCGACACGGGGGCAACAAACCATATGACTGGGGCCAAGTCTGTGTTCTCCGAGCTTGACTCGGGGATTTGCGGGATGGTAAAATTCGGCGACGGCTCCGTCGTCGAGATCGCGAAGGGCACAGCACCGTCCTATTCGTCGGCAAGGGAGGCAATCATCACAAGCTAACCGGCGTCTACTTCATCCCGAGGCTGAAGGCTAATATTGTGAGCCTGGGTCAACTCGATAAGGCCGGCTGCCACATTTCCATCAAGCGCGGGCTACTTAGGATCCGCGATGATCGACGACAGTTGCTCACGCAAGTTTGGTGTACGACAAACTGCCTTTACATCCTAGAGTTGGAGAATAGAGCAACCAGTCAACCTCATGGCCAGGTACCAGAGGATGGAAGACCTATTAGGAAGAGGTGAACCACCTAGATTGGCGGCGCGCCAACTCGAAGAAGAGGCGGCCAGGTACTAGAGGATGGAAGACCTATTAGGAAGAGGTGAACCACCTGGACTAGCGGCGCGCCAACTCGAAGAAAAGGTGGCCGAACAAGACGTGGAGTCTGAAGGACATGCCGCCAGGGACATCGAGCCATATACCACAGGTTTTAGGAGGAGATGGTTAGATAAAACCTAAGTTTTTCCTTATTTAGATTCACACGATTTCATTAGTTCTCCGTTTGACCATTTGACAAACACGTCGAATGGGTCAACTCGATAAGGCCGGCTGCCACATTTCCATCAAGCGCGGGCTACTTAGGATCCGTGATGATTGACGACAGTTGCTCACGTAAGTTCGGTGTATGACAAACTGCCTTTACATCCTAGAGTTGGAGAATAGAGCAACCAGTCAACCTCACGGCCAGGTACCGGAGGATGGAAGACCTATTAGGAAGAGGTGAACCACCTGGATTGGCGGGGCGCCAACTCAAAGAAGAGGCGGCCAGGTACCGAAGGATGGAAGACCTATTAGGAAGAGGTGAACCACCTGGACTAGCGGCGTGCCAACTCGAAGAAGAGGTGGCTGAACAAGACGTGGAGTCTGGAGGACATGCCGCCAGGGACACCGAGCCATATACCACAGGTTTTAGGAGAAGATTGTTAGATAAAACCTAAGTTTTTCCTTATTTAGATTCACACGATTTCATTAGTTCTCCGTTTGACCATTTGACAAACACGTTGAATGGATTAACGAAGTTTTAGACGTCAATTTTGTAGGAGGTGGCATAGATTTAGTTGGCCACTTCCTAGCCATTTATAGGATAGGTTATATTTAAATAGGAAATCTGTTCAGAAGATTTGATAACCTGATTTAAAAGCACGGTCAAAATTTCAGAAATTCTCTCTCTTTGTTATTTTACGCTCGTTTTATTTTCTTCCAACAACTTCCCGTCAACGATTTTCTCTCACCGAAAAGAAAAGAATTTTTCTGGCCGATTATTGAAATCCAACAGAACTAAGATGTTTATTGAGTGATAGATCTGAAATTGTGAAGTGATTAACTATAAGAGAGTTCGCATAGATTTCTTGGAGAAAACTTGGATGAAAATCGGAGTCCGATTCGCAAGACGACAACCCAAGCAAGAACATTAACATGAGTTTTTTTCGCATTTTTAAACGTCCTTATTTCACAATTTTAGAGTAAAAAATATAAGAAAAATACGAAGGCATAAATACTTTGTCTAACTTACTTGTCTCACGTCGTGATGTTTTTGTATTGACCACGAGGCTTGTGTTTGGCTTGACTCACTCGAGCTTCCCTTTTTAAATACGGTACAAACAGCAAGCGTAGGTTCATGACTAAGATCCTTTCTCAATCGTAGTGTCGACATCCTTTTCACCCTTTTTGTTTGAATAATCGTCAGGTTGGACCCCGTTACTACTAAGCATTTTTCTAGGGGCATGGAAATAACTTTGTGTTATAGTAGGAATTTCATCTCTAAGACGATGTCAAAGTCGTCCATCTTGATGATCACAAGGTCGGTTCGTCCAATCCAAGTTCCTAACTTTATTGGAGTTCTCTATGCAACTCTTAAGAAAGGTAAAGTTGCTGAATTGATGACCTTCATCTTTCATAGGTCTCGATGCCAAAGGATATTTAAACATTTTACTTTGGTCTCTGTCATGAAGTTGTGGGTGGCTCCAAAGTCGACAATGGTGTTTCTAGTCGCTCTATGATTAACTCAGACCTCAACATACATAAGATCGCGTTCCATTGACTCTTCTGTTTCTTCCACTCTCTTCTAGAGAGCAGACAAGTATTTTAGCGCCCCACGTGAGGGTGTCCAACATTCTCAGCTTATTGTATTTCTGTTTCTACTGTCTCATTCTTGGCTTCTAAATTCACTCCGAGTTTTACTTGGAAGGCATGTGGGCATTTCTGATTCTTGTTGGGCCCCTTTGCATGTGAAGCAAGACAAGGAGTCTCAACTTTGACTATGATTGTTTTAGCGCTAAGGTCTCTACCATGAAGTCCTAACTCTTTGTTGGGAGAATTCGCATTCTTCTTCGCCATCGAGTCTATCACTTCCCCCTTCTTTGGGAGCTGGGTCGATAATTCTCATTTCTATCACTTGTCGTCACCTGGTTCCACCTTCACTCTTGGGGTTGTTTGATACGAGATCAAATAGTCGTTTGGCGGTAGCATAAGCCATTGAAAGGTCTTGAACTCTTTGTTTGTAGAGATAGGTTTTTTTCCCACTGCTTCAACCTCTCAACAAAACTGAAGACCTTAGCTGTCTCATACCTATCACAAAGATATAAAATAAGCCTAGAAAACTGCTTCACGTAGTCTCAAATACTGTCAGTATGCCTTAACTTTCTTAATTTCTTTCCTGCAATTATCTCGACATTCTCTAAGAAGAATTGAGAGAGGATTTATTATTTCAAGCTATCCAAGTATCCACAGTACATCGACCATCTTGAATGTCCATGTACTTGAACTTCCACCACAACTTTGCATCATCGACATGATGCATTGTTGCCAACGTGACCTTCACTCCTTTTGTCACGGTATTTGTGGCTTGAAAGTACTGTTCAAGGTCAAAGATAAAGTTCTTTAGAGCCTTGGCAACTCAAACCCCTTAGAAGGGATTTGACTCCGAGACTTTTATCTTGTTAAATTGTACTACACCCTAGTTGGGGATTGGTTACCCACTGCTCTCATGGCCAGGTTTAATCTAGCACTTAGATCTACCACTTTCGTCCTTAGCATTCCAAGAGTTGTTCTCAAATATTCAAACAAATTTAAGACTATCTGAATGATCGCTCATTAGACATTGTCTAAGCCCTCGACGCGTTCTTACATTCGGGCACCAGAGTCCATCGAGCTATCCCTGCACTTGAAGCCACTTGCAATTGTAGTCTTGTCTTCTAGGGCCTCCACCCTAGACATTAATTCGCTGACAGACATTACCTTAAGGCAACCTGCCATCTCATCGATCATGTTGGTTTTAGCGGCAATCTCATTCATGGGAGATTCTAAATGACTCATTGCATCAATCTCATTCATGGGAGATTCTAAATGACTCATTGCGTCAGGAACTTCACTCATTCAGAGTAACTTTTCTTCGATTTCAATTAATTAGTCAGCCTGAGACTTGTTCAGTTATTTTGTAGCAAACATGATTGTGTATTATTTTTCAAGAGCCGACTCAGTTCTGATACCATTTGTCACAGGCGCACTCTTGTGGTAGTGGGATAGTGATTGTGTGTCATTTGTTTTAACCCAGCAAACAAGTCATGAGTTGCATGTGATTGTCTTCCCTGAACCCAAAAGTGGGGGCACTCATTGAGTATTTCTTAAAATACTCAAAGTTTGGGTGCTGTTTCTATTTCACGTCAAAGAAAGACACCCTTGTAACCTTCATGGTCATTTTTTGACTTTTTTTTTTTTTTTTTACAGTCGATCAACATACTTGAATGACTTTAGCATGAAAATCTAAAAGGAAAAATTTCATGATTAAGAAGTATAATATACAACTTTCATTATAATATAAAAAAAAATTCTTCATCCTATATTATAGGCTTGAAAATAAATATTATAGCAATTTCTGTTAATAGAAATGTGGCAAGTTTAATGACCCCAATACTATAATTACAAATGACTAATTGTAACCTTTTTAATTTTATTAACTAAATTTTCTTTTTTTTTTCTTTTCTTTTGAATTTATTCAGGAATGTGTTCACACGTATTATTTGCTAATTTGTAATTGATTGTTACTTACAATTCTTCTGTCTCTCTTATCTATCTATTCTTTTTTTTCTTTTAATTTTATTGGTAATTTAATTATGTTTTTTTTTCTTTTAATTTTATTGACAATTTAATTATGTTTGTACAATTTTTAATGGATTTTTTAATTAATAATTTACTGGAAGTCTCGTAAAATGGTTAGCATTTAGTTTCTAATTCAAACTAAATAATTGCATAAATTTATAGAAAATCTAAGATATATTGGATAATTGGATGTGATAGTCCTAAGAATGAAATTAGTATGAAAGAGAAGAAATATTTAATATAAACCTTCACAAATTTAAGACATTTTTTTTCACTAAATAGCCATTTTCCTCTTTATTTATTATTATTATTTTTTTTTTACACATGTGACCTATTTGTTTTTTTGTTGAGCTGTAACAACTGTAATATTATGGCTTAACTAGTTTGCTTAAGAGAGATAATTGGATAAGGGGACATATAGGTTAGCTTAGAGAAATGGGTAGGTTGTTTTCTTTAAAGAATTTTTCTTGTTTATTTATTTATATATATATATTGGATTATTACAAAAGCTATTTTCAAAAGCTAAAATAACACGGTTGAAGAAAATTAAACATATAGTTTTCGAAGTTAAGGAGGAAGATGCAAAAGTTTCTCTTGATTTCTGTCGCTACAATGACCATGCTTTGGCTTTTAGTTTGCTCTCGTACCCTCTCTATTATCTCTAATTGTTCCCCTACTCCCTCTCTTTCTCTCTTTCAATTCTATGAGGCCCTAAATTTTTGTTTAATTCAATTGATGCAGATACAGAGGTGAAGGTGGGAACTTCAATTCCATTAACTTGTATTGAAGTTTGCGGAAACGACAGCGACGCTGAAAATGATAAATGCATACAGTTATGTTCTAGAAGAGGATTTCAACATGGAGTATGTATTCCAAACCCAACAAACATAATTTGTTGTTGTGACCCTTAATTTTGGTTCAACTTTAATTCCTTTCTTTGCAAAAGATATGAAATTATCAATAAAATTATAAACTTATCTTTCCGTAGAGTGCAACACTTTAATCTATAAATTGCAGTTCTCAAGATTGATTGCAATTGTGAACGTAAGAAATTTCCTACACAAGATCAAAGAATTAATGACTTCCAACAATTTCAAGTCCCTCTATTAAAATCTATAATACAAAAACAAGTTCAAGAGGTTCTTGCATAATTTTGCTTTGTTTGTAGCTAATAGCATGACTATTTTGACAAATTAACATAGATTTTGTAGATAGAAATCTTCAAGAATGAAAACAGAAAAGTGCCTAAAAGTTTTAGAAAACAAAACTTAAATAAATTTTTAGTTCAAAAGTTAGTACACTAGAATTATGGAAACAACGTTATTGTTAAAAAAAAATTTCAAAATTATAAGAAATACAAAATAATTGTGAAAGACCATGTCTCTACTCCAAAACTAGGAAAAAAAATTCAAAATGAGAAAGTTGCAAAAAATTTACTATAACCATACTTTTTTCCTTCTAATTTTGAATCACTAGTTTGACAATGTGAAAATGATAATTTGCATACAAATACATACATCACATTTGGCAACCAACTAAAGTTCATATTAATATATATATATATATATATATATATATATATATCAAGCTCACCTAATCTTTCAGAACTTTCATCATATTTAAAAATATGAGATAAAAATTATTGAGCGAAAATTAAAACAAGATGAAATGCTCGTCACAACGGTCTCATATATTTATGCATCATCTAAAATGGAAAAAAAAAATAGCAATGGTGGTTATATACTCACTATGTAGCCATAGTTAAGAGTTGAAACTAAACTCATGGTTATAAACCATGATATAAATACATGCAAAGTCCTATTTATACGTCAATGTGTTTAGTTACTATATAAAATAAGTTGTCTTAATCATGCCACAAAGATTTAATGGTGGATGACAAAACTCGTATATGTTATTTATATTTAAGGAGGTTTTATTGTTTTTTTTTTTTTTTAACTTTAAGAGAATTGTCTTTATGATTATACGTTGCAATTAGCTAAGGGCGATTATGGTATTGATAGCCATGAAAATTACAACATTTTAATTAATGATGGGTTAGTGTAAAGTTTATTTTAAATACTATAAGTAATCATTCAAAGTTTTACTATAGGATGGAGATTTTTTGATATCATAATAAAAGTTGCTGATTATACTTCTTAACAAATGAGTTTGTTCCTTTGCATTTCTTATGAGTTTGTTTCTTTGCATTTCTTATGTTTAGATTTGCATGCTAAATTCATTCGAGTAGTTTTGACCAAGCTATCTTGTAACAATCAAAAAAAAAAAAAAAAAAAAAAAACGAGCCAGAAAAGGGCACTCAACCGTAGAGGGAGGTCTTGCCTTTATCTAAACTAGAAGTAGCACATGGGTTGAGTACTTTAAAAATATTCCGTAAGTGACCCCACTATTGGGTTCGGGAGTGAAACCACATGCAACTCATGATTAGGGATCTAACATTAAAACCATCCTATGAGTGGCCTCCAGTCAAGACAAATTCGATGTGTAGTACTTCCCCACACACTACCCACACTTGCAAGCGTGAATTCCCAAGTGTTTCGCACTCCTTTCAACCCATGATAGTCGGGCTAGTTGTCCGTAGCTGGATGTCTTGAGGTTAGCAAACCCCCGAGTGTTATGTGAAGAATGATCATCATCATCATAGTGTACGCATTCGTACTAGTCATCATAAATGGAGAAATAACCCGATGTATATAAACACACAAAATGCATGAGGTCCCTATGGTTTTTCATCTTTAAATCATCCTTAGGACACAATCCTATACACATCACATTGGGCAATGTGCATGCGTTGGCTTTCATACTTTCATCGTCATTAACATCAATTATGATTGTGTCTTAGAAAACTCGTCGTCATATTGTATCATGTCATTTAATACATGCACATAATCTTACTATGCAATAACAACATATTAAGTCATCTCATCATCAAGCATCTTACATTGTCCTGTTATTATGTATCATCATTATCGTGTCATCATCAAATATGTCATCATATAACATCATTCGTATAATATAGTCTCATCATCATACAACCGTCACATCATCATATAACATAGTCACATCATCATATAATATAAAGCATAAATGACACGTGCAAGGACCACTGGGCACGAGTCGTCATACGTAAGATCAGTGTTCCGATCGAGCCGGTAGTAAGGTCACTTACTTGGTTGGCCTTAGCTGCGTTTTTCCTAAACTCGAGTTTGTTTTAATTTCTCCCCCAAAGTTGCTACAAGTATTGTTGGAAATTGTTTCCTATTAGAACTTCCATCTTTTTTCGTTAACAACTAATATTTCTAACAGTAAATATTTCAACGATACTTGTAGCAACTTTGGGGAGAAATTCAAATGTACTCGAATTTAGGAAAAATGTCAGCTAAGGCCAACCAAGTAAGTGACCTTACTATCAACTCGGTTGGAAGACTTGCCTTATGTATGGCAATACATGCCCAATGGCACTTGCACGTGTCATTTATGTTTTATATTATATGATGATGTGACTATATTATATGATTATGTGACTATGTTTTATGATGATGAGATTGTTATATGACGATGTTATATAATGTTATATGATGTTACATGATGATGTTATATGATGATGTTACATGATAATGACATGATGATGATGATGATGCATGATGACATGACGATTTAAGATGCATGATGATGAAATGACTTAATATGATGTTATTCTATAGTAATACGATGTGCATGTATTAAATGTCATGATACATTATGACGACGAGTTTTCTAAGACACAACCCTAATTGATGTTAATAACGAGGAACGTATTTAAGCCAACACATGCATGTTTCCTAGTGTGATGTGTGAATAATGCAAAGAGTTGTGGCCTAAGGATAATTAAAAGATGAAAAGTTAAAGGGACCTCATACATTTTGTGTTTTCTTATACATGGGGTTACTTTCCCATTTATGATTATAAGTACGAACGTGAACAGTATGATGATGATCATGCCTCACATGACACTCGGGAGTTCTCTAACTACCGAACGTCCAGCTACGGACAACTAGCCCGACTATGATGGGCCCATGGGGTGCGTACCGCCTGGGGATTCATGTTCGCAAGTGTGGGTCGTGTATAGGGAAGTACACATCCAATTTTTTTCGGACTGGAGGCTACTCCTACGATGGTTTTAAGGATAGGTCCCTAATCATGAATTGCATGTGATTGCCTTCCCTAATCCCAATAATGGGTCACTTATTGAGTATTTCTCAAAATACTTAAGTCGGGTGTTGTTTCTATTTCAGGTAAAGGAAAGACACCTTTATACGACTGATTCTCGCTTTCTGACTTCTTCTTCTTCTGTTTTTTTTTAGTCGTTACAATAGATTGATCAACGCTACTTAATGACTTTAGCATGCAAATCTAAAATGAACAATTTCATGGCTTAAGAAGTATAATATACAACTTTCATTCTAATATTAAAAAAAAAAATCTTCATCCTAAGTAACAACATTAATGACTATTTATAGCTTTGAAAATAAATATTATACCAACTTATTTTAATTGAAATGTTGCAACTTTAATGGCCATAAATGATATAATCACAAATGGCTAATTGTAACCTTTTTAATTTTATTAAGAATTTTTTTTTCTCCCAATTTATTGATTGGGTTCACACCCATTGTTGGCTAATTGACTCTTACTTATAAATCTTCTCTCTTATCTCTCTATTCTTTTTTTTTTCTTTTAATTTTATTGACAATTTAATTATGTTCAAACCATTTTTAATCAATTCTTTGACTAATAATTTATTGGAAGTCACCTAAAATGGTTAACATTTAATTTCTAACTCAAACTAAATAATTGTACCAATTTAAAGAAAATCTAAGATATAATTGGATGATGGGATAAATGTCCTAACAATGAAATTAGTATGAAAGAGAAGAAATATTTAATATATTCCCTAAGAAATTTAAGATATTTTTTTAACAATAGAAAATGATAAAGAAAGTTAATGGAATTCAGTCGAGAAAGCAATTCCATTAACTTGTATTGAAGTTTGCGAAAACGACAGCGACACTGAAAATGATAAAGAACACTAAGTTTATCTACAAAACCCTTATTCTATTACTTCTTTGTATTTTCCTTTTTCTCTGCTCTACCTTTACAATAGAAAAATTACGTAGTTATAAGCTTTTTTAAATCTAATTATAGCTATGAGAATGTTACTGCCTATTTTATAAGATTTTCTAAATCTAATTACAGCTCGGAGAATGCCACCATAAACAGCCATTATTTGTATTAAGGGCCTTTTCTTTGTTCACTAACTTTTCAATTTAAGAGGTAAACAAATTAACTAAAAATGATATTTAATGTTTATTTAACAAAACTCTTCCATAAACTTAAATGCTACGATCAACGACTCCACATGAGCCGTTTTCACTTTCTCGTGTTCAGCCATGGCTTTTTCAATTTTCTCTCCTTGTCCTCGAGCAACAAACTAAGCTTATCCTTCTCTAACGAAAATCCATTTAGAGCTTCTCGAAGATAGCCCATTTGAGACAGCAACTCCTCATTTCTCCCGTTCTCAACCTTGCTCGATTTAGTCAAAGACGTTATAGCTTCTTTTAGTTTACTTAATTCCCTTCGCAAGTCCACAACGACATTTTCCACTATCACTTTCACCTCCTCCATTTCAGCTTTATCACGAGTGATTATCTCAATTGTGTGTCCTAAACTCACTGCCCCTGTTGGACTCGATTCAGATTGAGTTAACATCTCTACATCTTTCTCCTCCCTCACTAACTCTTCCACTAAACCATCAACCTCCGTTAATAAGTCATTCTCTTTCTCCACACCTTCTTCAATTCTCTTCACAAGCTCAAAAATTACCTTCCCATTCTCTTCCTTCTCCTATTTGAGATAGAAAGAACTCCCACTCAGCTTAGCCACTTCCTTCTTTAACCTTTCCATCTCTATTTCTAAAGCTTTATTA